TGTGTGTGTGTGTGTGTGTTGCAATAAGAGCTCATAGAAGCCCTCCTTAATTTACAAGAAGCCAACTTTGAAGAAAGTAGCAAAACAATTAGCCATTAAGATCAATACAGAGTCTGATCCTTAACAAAAACAATCTGGAAGTCTATCTCTTAAAAATTTGTATAAACACAAATTAAGAGTACAGAGCCTTGTCCTTAGGACCTTAGCTTTTTGACTTGGAATGCTTAACTAGCCAATTAATGACCTGGTCGATGTTGGTCAAATTCTTGCACGAGATCATAAAACAGCACACCTCTCTACCAGTTAGAGATTTTAATTCCCTGCACCATACATTATCATTTATAAATGTCAAATACAGAAGCCCCAGAGAAAAAAAAAAGCATGCAATCAGACACAACTATGCCATTTTCTACTTACATTTGATAAGTCAAACCCTTCTTGGATAGGGCTTCAACCTTGTCGATTTTGTTTCCTAATACCAGCAAATGAATGCCACTCAGTGTTGGTTTACTCAGTAGATAATGGAGTTCACGTTGGGAGATGTAGATATTATCATGATCGGCAACATCAACAACGTAACTGCATCAAATCCAGTTACAAAAAACTAATTAGCTTGTCACGATCGTATAAATAGAAGAATTTGTCTTTAGTCAGAGGTAGCTGCATACACAATAGCAGAAACTCCTCGACAGTATCGCTCCCACATACTTCGAAATCTGGATTGACCTCCAAGAACCCACAACTTTATTGCGACTTTCCCCTTAGTGAGCTTCCGCATATTAAATCCTACCTAAAGGATCAAATTCGTAATAAATATAATTAAATGCCTCCATAACCCATGATCAACAATCAACAATAATAAAAGCGGAAAGGGATTTTACGAAGAAAACTTACTATAGGGATCATGTCTTCACAATCTAAACCAGCCTAAGAAAAGAACAACAAAGAAAATGCACAATTTTTTTGACCAGATAAATGAAAAGATGTAGAAACAATCACAAATATATGGAAGGATAAGTAACATGTGTGTCCTCACAAAAACACACGCACAGCGATTTACTTACAGCGACAGCATTTACAAGTGAAGTTTTCCCAGCATTTTGAAGGCCTATCAATGAAATCTCCATTTCTTGCTTGAAGAAAAAGTTGTAAATGTGCAAAAAAAAAAAAAATAATAATAATAATAATAAATAAATAATGTCAGTCCATTCAATTTGAAATAACTTAACCATGAAAAATCAAAACCATATAAAAGCATGCTCCATTGATCCCAACCATGGAATTTTTCTTTTTAAGTTCTATATTTTACTTCATTTTTGCGAGTGTAGTTCATCAAGCAGCCATACCATAACTCTCTGATTTCATAGCTTGATGATCGAAGTTAGTCGTTAAGAAGCTTGGTCTTATTTTCTTTTGAAACTTCTCTCACGATATAGATGATGCAACAGTAGCTGATGAAGCTGATGATGCAGCAGCAGCTGATCCAACCGCCTAGCTGGCATGGTAGTTAAATTCAGTTAGGACAGCTAGATAAATTCAGTTGGGTAGTTAAATCTGTTGATATAGTTAAAGTTGTTGATAGATAGTTAAAGTTGTTGATAGTTTGTTCCAACTGATAGATGTAATTTTCCTTTTTACTATAGAATCATTCCATTCTTCCTTCTCTGTTTTTACTTTCCTTCTTTGTTAATTTTCTTCTTTATCCCTTCATGAAGAAACTATAATTCTCAGCTCGAGAATCCTACATGGTATCAGAGCTTGAATTCTTCAATTAAGCTTCTGCTATTCTGAATTAATTCATAGCGAATTCACTCTTCAATCCAGTAGATGATCCAACCAGTTATTTCTTCTTACATCTCAGTGATAATCCGGGTGCCTTAATCGTTTCTGAAGTTTTTAATGAAGAAAATTATACATCTTCGAGCCGCTCAATTTCTATGGCATTGAGTGTAAAGAACAAGACAGCTTTCATTGATGGATCATTGCCATTTCCAAATCCATCTTTTGGTGCTCTATACAACTGTTGGATTCGCGCCAATGACCTTTCGTTGTCTTGGTTATTGAATTCAATCAATGAGAAGATTCGTCAAAGCTTGCTGTATATTGCATCTGCCTGTAAAGTTTGGAATTAACTTAAAACTAGGTACATTCGTAGTGATGGCCCTAGAGCATACCACTTGAAAAAATCCTTGAGTTCCATTTCTCAAGGATCACAAAAACTTACTATAGACTTGATGTAGTACATCACAACTAC